CTGTGCTACTTTATGGACTTTCCGTGGGTTGCTACGCCACAGACATGGTGATGCACTATGCTTGACAAATGATTGCTTTCTGAAAGAATTGCAGAGGTAGGTGATCGTCTTATAAGTTTTCCACAAGTAAATTATCCTTTCTTTGTGAGGCAAGTGTGACTGCTTGAGATGAAAGCACACTTAAAACAGTTGGGGCAAGAAAACTTGTTTGAGCAGGGGATGACATTATGACATGGTGTGTTAACAGTTGAGATGCCAGCATCCTACCCTCTGACAGAGGATGCTGGGTGACTCTCTGTTGCTCTGCTTCCATTCCAGTTTCCTCCTAATGCACCTGGGGAAGCAGTGGAATACGGGGGCAAATACTTGGGCCCCAGACAGCCTCATTGGAGCCCCTGGTGAAATTCTTGGCATTTGATTTTGGTCTGCCTGGCCTTGGTAGCCTTTGGGGAACTGAATAAGGATATAGACATGTGTCTCAACCCCTTTCTCTCACTATGTTGCAGAAGAAATAAATAAAAAATAAGCAAATGGATAAATAGTTTAAAAAGAAAACTGAGCAAGGATGAGTTCAAAATCATGTGAAGAACTTGTTTACTAAGGGATTTATCCAATAGTCCCACCTGTTCAAGTGCACCCACATATAGTACAGAAACAAACCAGGGGTGACAGATGTTAATATATAATGTGTTGCCTACATACCGTCTTCCAGCTATAAAAACACATTACACCTGAATTTTAATTTGGAACAGACTAAGCTTTTATCAATAACCTGTGATCAACCTATTTCTTGCTTTTATAAGACTTCAGGATATATGGGGAGATCCTTAGGGAGAAGTCTTCATGTGACACATTATGGCCTTAGATTGATGAACACTTTCTCATCATTATAGGCAACTTGCATAGGAAACTTGGATTGTTACCATCCCAGAAGAACAGAAAAGGAAAGAGCATGAAGAGATACAGAGGTTTGTATGGGTGGTGGGTATGGTCATGCCTGAAAGGTGCTTTTGTCATTCCTTTCCTTTGACCTAGACGTATGCTCAGAACTATCAGTAAGGGAGGTAGGCAAATAAAACAACAGGTACACAGGTGGACAGAAGATTGCTTATGTGTTCTACTCTGTTGAAAATGAGACACTGTGCAGTACTGCCACCCATAGTATGCACGGATGGAATAATTAACAACTATCTTACCTTACAGCATTTCACTAGCAGGAACAGAATGTGGAGGCCATGAGTGGTCATGGAACCTGCCACGTAGAAGACCCTTATTTAAGTATGGACAAATGCAAATATACACCAGATGTGAAACACATCTCTTACTTTATTAACTTTTTCAGTCAAGTTTTATTTACAAATATGACCTGCACTGTAACCTAAAAGGACCATACCAACCTGATACCACAAAGCAAAGGCTGCTGCTTCCTTTCGTGCTACTTATCCTGCCTCTCAACTGAGGAGAATCTCACTGGGGCAGGGATGGAGAGACTCATGCAGGGAAAGTAGAAGCTTTCTCACAGTAGAAGGTTTTTCTCATAGCACAGAGATGAGCTGAATGATTCTACTCATCAGTTGACACAATTCTGCATAGTCCAGAAAAAAATCTCAAAATGTTTGTCTTGCCTTTTCAGTACTATCTTGGAATCTATGAGGCAGCCTAACTTTTTAAAGGAAAGGATTGTTTTAATTCTTGGTTCTCGAGATTTGAAGTCTAGGGTCCTTGTGTTTTGAATGGGCAAGAATCCCAAGGTGATACCTAGAACCAGATGTCATGAGACAGGTAAATAAAACAAGAATACATGAGTCTGTGTTTCTGTGTCAGTCTTACAGACACAGCAGAATTCAGTAAAGTGACCTCTGTGCTAATAATCTGATATAAGCCTAATCACTGCCCAGTGTCCCACCCCTACACCTTGTGGCATCTTATGGACCTAACAACTCAGGTATTTTCAGGAATGGTTTGTTGTTTTTTCTTTAAGATTTACTTATTTATTTGGAAAGAATTACAGAGAGGCTGAGGCAGAGGGAGGGATCTTCTTCTGGTGGTCTACTCCCCAGACAGCTACAATGGCTTGAGGTGGGCCTATCTGAACCAGGAGCTTCTTGCTGGTTACCAATATGGATGCAGCATCCCTAGGTCTTGTACCGTCTTCCACTGCTTTCCCAGGCATATGAGTAGGGAAGTGACTTGCAAGTAGAGTAGCTAGGACAGGACTGGTACTCATATTGGATGCGCTCACTGCAGGCATTGGCTTTACCCACTACATATGGTGCCAGCCCCAGGGCTGGCTTCTCTTCTTGGGTGATGGAGGAGTGTCCTTCCTTCCTGTGGCTTCACACTGTCCTTGATTTTCTTCCCCTTCAACAAAAATCTCCAGCCTCTTGTTTCCACTGTCACATATCTCGCCATCCTTTTCACCTTCTTGCCTCCCAGCTTTAAATATCCTCGGGGTGACAGTGAAGATCCCACCATTGTACTCTAGGGTGCTGTTCTCATCATAAAAGCCTTGGTTTTCCATCATCAGCAAATTCCCCCTTCACATACTAGGTAATATTCACAAGCTCCAGGGTTAGATTGTGGCCTTCGTGGGCAACATTACTCAGCGTTTCGTAACTATAATGGAGCCATAAAACACAGTGACAGATAAATGAATACTAAAGTGTCTTACATTTAGTGACAGCACATATTTTGTGACAGCCTTGTTTCATGAAACACATTACAAGTGGGTTCCAAAAGACAATGAAATACACCCTGTTTGCACCAAGCCTAGCACAACCAATTAAACCTCAAAGTTACTTAAGACTTATGTTCCAAACTTTGGTCATGGTCTGCGTGAGTGGCATGCAGCAAAAATGAAGATTCACTGAATGGTGAAGCTGGCCTTATTTTTGTGAGCACAACTTCGTTGGGTATCCCCATGCCTGAAACAACATGATTCACTTTCCTACTCTTCTTTTGGATAGATGCACAACCCAGATGAGGTTGCATCTCAAATGGTCATTTTCCCACTGCATTCCAGAAGCCTCAAGAGGCTGCTTTTGAGATTCGTTTGAAGACCTCATGCCATCTTAAGAAAGATGGAGATAGTTCACCCACCTCAAATGATGTGCATTCAGTTTCTTCCTGGAATAGGCCCATTCTTATTGAAGATGGTAAGACAGATGCAAAGGGAAGGTGTGAACTTAGGTGAGAGTTACAACTGAACTGCCGTGGCCAATCCTTTCTCACTCAACTCTTCCCTCAAGATAATGAAGTGCTTCAGGTCACAGCAACTAGACGAAGACTGTGGGGAGTGACACATAGGTAATGTGGTCCCAATAATGGGTCACAGCTCCTCAACACGAACTCACCATCTGTGGTCACGGAGAGAGCTGCAAATGAGGTCACGGGCACCACTGACACATCTGGAAACATGTGGCCCCAAATATTGGGGACAATCCCCTGCTCACATACTCTGCTTTTCTATTCCTCCTCACTCAGCTGTTCTATTCCAAAATTTCCCCTGGAACTAATCTTCTCTTATCCTCCTTGCTTGATCATGTGCTTCCCATTGCCTAGTGGAATTGCACAGGGGCATGCCTGCACCCTCAATTATGTACCCCTTTTCTCTAACTAACCTCATGAATACTTCACACCGCATCACACAGATAACCTGTTTTAACTACCAAGCTCTGGAGCTCATATATGAACACTCATCTGTCTGATGAGAATTCACTTTTGCGGACAGCATTCCCTCTTACATATCCACAAACTCTTACTGCACCCACAGCACCTTCAACCTTTCAAAGTGCTGTATGTGGTGAGAGCTGCTGCATGCTTCCTCCAACATGCAGTATCTAGTGTCTCATGGAGTAACACACTTCTGAACCCCTCCAGCACAGAGCACACAAATACCTATGCCTTACAACACACACACACACACACACACACACACACACACCACAGAACACCCATCTGTATGTAATACAACACACACTCAAATCCACGTGATGTGACATTGACATAGAGCCATGTGTGCCAAACACACAGACACAAACATTTCCTTTCTACCTAATTAAAACTCACTGCAGTATTCATATAGGTAAATACTGAATTTATTTCATATTAATTTCAGACCAATTCAAGCAGTATGTTACAAAGTTACATACATGTAGCACATGATTTCACCACACTGTTTCACTGCAATGTGTGAGTGCATCATATACAGCACACCACATTCATGACACAACTTGATAATCTTAAGAATTCAGTAACAATCAGTGGACTGTGTTAATATTTAACAGCAACAGTGGCATGAGACAATCATGAATATGTATTTTATTCAAGTTCAGAATTCAGCCATTGTTTCATTGGCATGACAAATTAGTGGAGGCCAACAGGGCCAAAAGCAGTAGCCAAGGACTGTGGTACTGAGGAGACCTGAGGGCTGGACCCAGGAAGAAATATAGACAACCCAAAGGGTAGCACCCCCTTGCGCATTTTCAATTGCACCTAAGAGGAAAATGTCATCTTGGATGTGGGAAGGGTGCTCACTGGAAAAAGTCAATCAAGGAGAATAGAAGAAGCTGTGTCCCTGCAGGGAACAATACAGAATATTCAGAGATGTTGGTTATTCTGTAGGTAGGATAAGGCCCAATACAGGACTTAAGTGAGGTCACATATGATATTTTGTACATAATCTTTGGTAAAGCAAGAGAAATGCTAGTTGTATTCCTTCACACACTCTGACACCATTAAAAAAAGAGCTTTAGCACATAGCATGAAGTCCAACCCAATTATATGACTTCTAACCCAAACTCCAGCATCCAATGATGAGACGAATGTGCTGTGCACATGTATGTTATAGATTTATAAGGACATGTATTTGGTTGCCTGTGAGATTATGGAATATGTCTATTCTGAGAACTCAGATCATGATCATCAGAATATGTTTGGATTGGATAAATCAATGAATGAAACATCAACTGCATATTCATGACCTCTGATCCACATTGCAGACATCTCAATCACCCAGTGTGATCCACAACCTGAAAACTCAATGGAGGGCAAGACCTTGGTCCTTGAAGCAGAAGAAACATCTGATAAATTGGAACCCCACATCAGCCACTCACCTTCACCTTTACAACCTCATCCTGGTAAGGACAGCGACAGGTGAGGCTGGGCACATCAGTGCAATGTGTGTGGGTATGTTCAGCAACCATCACGGAAGACAAATGAACACAGAATAAAATAGTGTGCTTAGGGTAAAAAGAACAGTCACGGTCATACAAGGTCAGGGATTAAATATGACAGTTTAAATATGCCAAAGAATGATGAAAACTAGTAGTGATTTAAAGAGTCTATTCAGAAAAAAAAAAAAAAAAACTGACAAAGCAAATGGCAACCAGCAACAAATTTGTGCTAGGAGTTCCGAGAGTATATTATTGAATATAGATAGGTCTTGATTATTCAAATTCCGAGAGAGAATAACTAATTCACAACAAATAGAGCAGCTGTGATTAAAGTGCTGAATGACAGTAGGATGTGCGATGCCGACTAGAAGCAGAAGTATTCTGTGCTCCTGTTATTGCCTGAAATAGGGTGAAAACGAATAACTCAAAGGGTTCTGAACTCAGGAAACAAAGAGAAATAGGTAAGAAGTGCCCATTCATGAGGTACAAAGATCCTGAATTCACGCATGTGTATGTAATTATCTCCTTTAACTTACCAGGTAAGATCCACAGGTTCCCGTGGTTAAGATATGGAGATCTTGGTTGTGGAGCATTGCGCAGCCTTTCACAACTATCATGGAATTTTTAGACAGTAACAGGGGCGTGAATACTGACAACACATGGATTGCACTCTGTGTGACATTACTGTTTCAAGACACACAAAGCAAGTGATAGTATAAATGTGTGCTCTGTCTTTTGAGCCAGCAACACCTGGACAAGGATGAAAGTTATTAAAACATCTGTTTTGAAGCTTTGACCAGGCACATTTCATGGTCTTCATGAGAGTCTGGCATGTAGTGGACAACTGACATTCACTAAATGGGTGAAGTCGCTTTCATTCCTGTGAGAGCAAGTCTCATGAGTGGCCACCTGCCCGAAACAACATATCCAGTGATACATTGCCATTTAGATGCAGAAACTGGATGATGTCACATCTCAAGGATGTCATTTTGTTGTTTTTCCCCAGCACTGCAAAAGCCTCAAAAGGATGCCTCTGAGATGTGTTTGCAAGGCCTGGCACATCTTAACAAGGAAGGAGAGAATTCATCCAACTCAGATGATGTCTGCTTTGTTTCCTCTTGGAACGAGTCCATTCTTATTGAAGACGGTAAGTCAGATGCGAAGGGAAAGCATCAAGCTATGTGACATTTGAAATTGAGGTACTGTTCCAAGAATAAGTCACAGGTTCTCAGCACAGGACACGAGGAATGAGCACTAGGGGAGCTTTGAGGGTGAGACTATGGGATGCCCTTAAAGTACGGAAACCAGAACAGAGAACAGAATAAACACATGAAACAAATACCTGTGCACAGACTAACTTGTTATACTCCTGACAAAAAGAATGTAGGCTTATTCTACATTATAGTCTGAAATTCTTTTGTACTCACACAAAGATCCTTGGGATGACATTTATAACCAACATGCATGATAAAGGGTCATCCGTGCACCTCAAATTCTGTGAAAAATGGCATCTAAGTGTCATCATTGACAATCTCGGGAATGTCCAGGGGCTACAGTGATGAAGACATGAACAGCGTGGGGTGGGTGTATTACGCAAGCTTTCACAGCAGTCATACAAATGTTAGAGAGAACGAAGGAGACATAGGTAAGTGACATTACAGTTTCTTAACGTCAGTTGCACCTGACAGCATATTTTTAAGACAACGCACCTAACGTGGCTCCACAAAAACATGTTATGTACATCGTGTCTAATTAATTAGCCTTTGACACCCAGATACAACTGAAGTATTTTTAAACACTTCCCATTTGAAATTTGTCCAGGAGGCAGACTGTGGTCTGCATAGGACTGGCACTCTTAGGATGGTTGCTAGTCAATAGATGGGGAATTCAGCACCATTCCTTTGAAAGCAAGTCCCCTGTGGGCTCAAATGCCTTGAACAATATATGCATTTGACGTGCTGTTCATTTGAATAGATGCAGAAGCCAGATGAAGTCACATCTCAAGGTTGTCTTATTGTCATCTTGTCCCCCCAGAAGGCTCTGAGGCACTGGAGAATGCTCCTGAGTCATGTGTGACTTTCCCATCCCATCTTTTCTTTTTTACTTTTTTTAACATGCAGAGTGGATAGTGAGAGAGAGAGACAGAGAGAAAGGTCTTCCCTTTGCCGTTGGTTAACCCCCCAATGGCCGCCACGGCTGGCGCGCTGTGGACGGCGCACCATGCTGCTCTGAAGGCAGGAGCCAGGTGCTTCTCCTGGTCTCCCATGGGGTGCAGGGCCCAAGCACTTGGGCCATCCTCCACTGCCTTCCCAGGCCACAGCAGAGAGCTGGCCTGGAAGAGGGGCAACCGGGAAAGAATCCGGTGCCCCGACCGGGACTAGAACCCGGTGTGCCGGCGCCACTAGGTGGAGGATTAGCCTAGTGAGCCGTGGCACCGGCCTCATCCCATCTAAAGTCAGAAAGAAAGAGACCCTCAACATCAGATGATGCCCGCTTTGTTTGCTGTCTGGGAGAATCCATTCTTATTGAAGATGAAGGTAAGGCACGTGCAAAGGGAAGGTGTGAACTTTGGTGAGTGTTGCAGCTGAGTTCCCCAGGCCAACTCCCGCCCACTGCTCTTTGGGCTCACAATAGGAGCATGTTTCAGGGTACAGAACCAGGATGAAGCCCCATGGGAGAAACCTGCAGGAGTGTCCCAAAAATATCCTGAGAATGGCTCAGAGATCCTCTCCAACAAGTTGCCATCCGTGGGCACTCGGAGGACTGAAGATGAGTCCATGGGTGGTGCGCTCGTGTGTGGAATCCAGATAGAGCCTCCCAAGGCACACTGACTGGCAGGATTTCCATTCCGTACTCATGTGTTGGTCTTCTCTACCAGGGGTGCACTGCCATTTCCCTTTCCTCTTTCAGATCATCTCACATCTATCATCTGCCTTCACCATTTCTTTCCTATCCTCTAGTGGCATTGCACTGGGATAGCCTGTCACCCTCATTCCTGAAGAAACCTGCCCCTTACTCCGGTCATGATCGCTTCACACCACCTCACACGTATCAGTATGCCAGACAATCCTGTGTGTGAAGGGCTTTGATTTGCCCAGACAGCACATGTTCTCCATCACAGGGCACTTCATCCAAAGTGAAATCAGCCCTTCAAAGAGATGCATATGCTGCGAGTTGCCGTGTGCTTCCTCCTGCATTGTGCCATCCTCTGCATGTACTGACATGATAGTGAACCACTCCAATGCAGAACATGCTTGCATTTGCCATGGCACAAAACACACACACACACGCACACACACACACACACACACCACAGAACACCCATCTGTATATAATACAACACACACTCAAAACCACGTGATGTGACATGACATAGAGCCATGTGTGCTAAACACACAGACCCAAACATTTCCTTTCTACCTAATTAAAACTCACTGCAGTATTCATATAGGTAAATACTGAATTTATTTCATATTAATTTCAGACCAATTCAAGCAGTATGTTACAAAGTTACATACATGTAGCACATGATTTCACCACACTGTTTCTCTGCAATGTGTGAGTGCATCATATACAGCACACCACATTCATGACACAACTTGATAATCTTAAGAATTCAGTAACAATCAGTGGACTGTGTTAACATTTAACAGCAACAGTGGCATGAGACAATCATGAATATGTATTTTATTCAAGTTCAGAATTCAGCCATTGTTTCATTGGCATGACAAATTAGTGGAGGCCAACAGGGCCAAAAGCAGTGGCCAAGGACTGTGGTACTGAGGAGACCTGAGGGCTGGACCCAGGAAGAAATATAGACAACCCAAAGGGTAGCACCCCCTTGTGCATTTTCAATTGAACCTAAGAGGAAAATGTCATCTTGGATGTGGGAAGGGTGCTCACTGGAAAAAGTCAATCAAGGAGAATAGAAGAAGCTGTGTCCCTGCAGGGAACAATACAGAATATTCAGAGATGTTGGTTATTCTGTAGGTAGGATAAGGCCCAATACAGGACTTAAGTGAGGTCACATATGATATTTTGTACATAATCTTTGGTAAAGCAAGAGAAATGCTAGTTGTATTCCTTCACACACTCTGACACCATTAAAAAAAGAGCTTTAGCAGATAGCAAGAAGTCCAACCCAATTATATGACTTCTAACCCAAACTCCAGCATCCAATGATGAGACGAATGTGCTGTGCACATGTATGTTATAGTTTTTATCAGGACATGTATTTGGTTGCCTGTGAGATTATGGAATACGTCTATTCTGAGAACTCAGATCATGATCATCAGAATATGTGTGGATTGGATAAATCAATGAATGAAACATCAACTGCATATTCATGACCTCTGATCCACATTGCAGACATCTCAATCACCCAGTGTGATCCACAACCTGAAAACTCAGTGGAGGGCAAGACCTTGGTCCTTGAAGCAGAAGAAACATCTGATAAATTGGAACCCCACATCAGCCACTCACCTTCACCTTTACAACCTCATCCTGGTAAGGACAGCGACAGGTGAGGCTGGGCACATCAGTGCAATGTGTGTGGGTATGTTCAGCAACCATCACGGAAGACAAATGAACACAGAATAAAATAGTGTGCTTAGGGCAAAAAGAACAGTCACGGTCATACAAGGTCAGGGATTAAATATGACAGTTTAACATAAATACGCCAAAGAAAAATGAAAACTAATAGTGATTTAAAGAGTCGATTCAGAAAAAAAAAAAAACTGACAAAGGAAATGGCAACCAGCACAAATTTGTGCTAGGAGATCGGAGAATATATAGATAGGTCTTGATTATTCAAATTCCCAAGAGAAAATAACTAATTCACAACAGATAGAGCAGCTGTGATTAAAGTGCTGAATGACAGTAGGATGTCCGATGCCGACTAGAAGCAGAAGTATTCTGTGCTCCTGTTATTGCTTGAAATAGGGTTAAAACTGATAACTCAAAGGGTACTGAACTCAGGAAACAAAGAGAATTAGGTAAGAAGTGCCCATTCATGAGGTACAAAGATCCTGAATTCACGCATATGTATGTATTATCGCCTTTAACTTACCGGGTAAGATCCACAGGTTCCCGTGGTTAAGATATGGAGATCTTGGTTGTGGAGCATCGCGCAGCCTTTCACAACTATCATGGAATTTTTAGACAGTAACAGGGGCATGAATACTAACAACACATGGATTGCACTCTGTGTGACATTACTGTTTCAAGACACACAAAGCAAGTGATAGTATAAATGTGTGCTCTGTCTTTTGAGCCAGCGACACCTGGACAAGGATGAAAGTTATTAAAACATCTGTTTTGAAGCTTTGACCAGGCACATTTCATGGTCTTCATGAGAGTCTGGCATGTAGTGGACAACTGACATTCACTAAATGGGTGAAGTCGCTTTCATTCCTGTGAGAGCAAGTCTCATGAGTGGCCACCTGCCCGAAACAACATATCCAGTGATACATTGCCATTTAGATGCAGAAACTGGATGATGTCACATCTCAAGGATGTCATTTTGTTGTTTTTCCCCAGCACTGCAAAAGCCTCAAAAGGATGCCTCTGAGATGTGTTTGCAAGGCCTGGCACATCTTAACAAGGAAGGAGAGAATTCATCCAACTCAGATGATGTCTGCTTTGTTTCCTCTTGGAACGAGTCCATTCTTATTGAAGACGGTAAGTCAGATGCGAAGGGAAAGCATCAAGCTATGTGACATTTGAAACTGAGGTACTATTCCAAGAATAAGTCACAGGTTCTCAGCACAGGTCACGAGGAATGAGCACTAGGGAAGCTTTGAGGGTGTGACTATGGGATGCCCTTAAAGTACGGAAACCAGAACAGAGAACAGATTAAACACATGAAACAAATACCTGTGCACAGACTAACTTGTTATACTCCTGACAAAAAGAATGTAGGCTTATTCTACATTATAGTCTGAAATTCTTTTGTACTCACACAAAGATCCTTGGGATGACATTTATAACCAACATGCATGATAAAGGGTCATCCGTGCACCTCAAATTCTGTGAAAAATGGCATCTAAGTGTCATCATTGACAATCTCGGGAATGTCCAGGGGCTACAGTGATGAAGACATGAACAGCGTGGGGTGGGTGTATTACGCAAGCTTTCACAGCAGTCATACAAATGTTAGAGAGAACGAAGGAGACATAGGTAAGTGACATTACAGTTTCTTAACGTCAGTTGCACCTGACAGCATATTTTTAAGACAACGCACCTAACGTGGCTCCACAAAAACATGTTATGTACATCGTGTCTAATTAATTAGCCTTTGACACCCAGATACAACTGAAGTATTTTTAAACACTTCCCATTTGAAATTTGTCCAGGAGGCAGACTGTGGTCTGCATAGGACTGGCACTCTTAGGATGGTTGCTAGTCAATAGATGGGGAATTCAGCACCATTCCTTTGAAAGCAAGTCCCCTGTGGGCTCAAATGCCTTGAACAATATATGCATTTGACGTGCTGTTCATTTGAATAGATGCAGAAGCCAGATGAAGTCACATCTCAAGGTTGTCTTATTGTCATCTTGTCCCCCCAGAAGGCTCTGAGGCACTGGAGAATGCTCCTGAGTCATGTGTGACTTTCCCATCCCATCTTTTCTTTTTTACTTTTTTTAACATGCAGAGTGGATAGTGAGAGAGAGAGACAGAGAGAAAGGTCTTCCCTTTGCCGTTGGTTAACCCCCCAATGGCCGCCACGGCTGGCACGCTGTGGACGGCGCACCATGCTGCTCTGAAGGCAGGAGCCAGGTGCTTCTCCTGGTCTCCCATGGGGTGCAGGGCCCAAGCACTTGGGCCATCCTCCACTGCCTTCCCAGGCCACAGCAGAGAGCTGGCCTGGAAGAGGGGCAACCGGGAAAGAATCCGGTGCCCCGACCGGGACTAGAACCCGGTGTGCCGGCGCCGCTAGGTGGAGGATTAGCCTAGTGAGCCGTGGCACCGGCCTCATCCCATCTAAAGTCAGAAAGAAAGAGATCCTCAACATCAGATGATGCCCGCTTTGTTTGCTGTCTGGGAGAATCCATTCTTATTGAAGATGAAGGTAAGGCACGTGCAAAGGGAAGGTGTGAACTTTGGTGAGTGTTGCAGCTGAGTTCCCCAGGCCAACTCCCGCCCACTCCTCTTTGGGCTCACAATAGGAGCATGTTTCAGGGTACAGAACCAGGATGAAGCCCCAGGGGAGAAACCTGCAGGAGTGTCCCAAAAATATCCTGAGAATGGCTCAGAGATCCTCTCCAACAAGTTGCCATCCGTGGGCACTCGGAGGACTGAAGATGAGTCCATGGGTGGTGCGCTCGTGTGTGGAATCCAGATAGAGCCTCCCAAGGCACACTGAACTGGCAGGATTTCCATTCCGTACTCATGTGTTGGTCTTCTCTACCAGGGGGGCACTGCCATTTCCCTTTCCTCTTTCAGATCATCTCACATCTATCATCTGCCTTCACCATTTCTTTCCTATCCTCTAGTGGCATTGCACTGGGATAGCCTGTCACCCTCATTCCTGAAGAAACCTGCCCCTTACTCCGGTCATGATCGCTTCACACCACCTCACACGTATCAGTATGCCAGACAATCCTGTGTGTGAAGGGATTTGATTTGCCCAGACAGCACATGTTCTCCATCACAGGGCACTTCATCCAAAGTGAAATCAGCCCTTCAAAGAGATGCATATGCTGCGAGTTGCCGTGTGCTTCCTCCTGCATTGTGCCATCCTCTGCATGTACTGACATGATAGTGAACCACTCCAACGCAGAACATGCTTGCATTTGCCATGGCACAAAACACACACACACACGCACACACACACACACACACACACACCACAGAACACCCATCTGTATATAATACAACACACACTCAAAACCACGTGATGTGACATGACATAGAGCCATGTGTGCTAAACACACAGACCCAAACATTTCCTTTCTACCTAATTAAAACTCACTGCAGTATTCATATAGGTAAATACTGAATTTATTTCATATTAATTTCAGACCAATTCAAGCAGTATGTTACAAAGTTACATACATGTGGCACATGATTTCACCACACTGTTTCTCTGCAATGTGTGAGTGCATCATATACAGCACACCACATTCATGACACAACTTGATAATCTTAAGAATTCAGTAACAATCAGTGGACTGTGTTAACATTTAACAGCAACAGTGGCATGAGACAATCATGAATATGTATTTTATTCAAGTTCAGAATTCAGCCATTGTTTCATTGGCATGACAAATTAGTGGAGGCCAACAGGGCCAAAAGCAGTGGCCAAGGACTGTGGTACTGAGGAGACCTGAGGGCTGGACCCGGGAAGAAATATAGACAACCCAAAGGGTAGCACCCCCTTGCGCATTTTCAATTGAACCTAAGAGGAAAATGTCATCTTGGATGTGGGAAGGGTGCTCACTGGAAAAAGTCAATCAAGGAGAATAGAAGAAGCTGTGTCCCTGCAGGGAACAATACAGAATATTCAGAGATGTTGGTTATTCTGTAGGTAGGATAAGGCCCAATACAGGACTTAAGTGAGGTCACATATGATATTTTGTACATAATCTTTGGTAAAGCAAGAGAAATGCTAGTTGTATTCCTTCACACACTCTGACACCATTAAAAAAAGAGCTTTAGCAGATAGCAAGAAGTCCAACCCAATTATATGACTTCTAACCCAAACTCCAGCATCCAATGATGAGACGAATGTGCTGTGCACATGTATGTTATAGTTTTTATCAGGACATGTATTTGGTTGCCTGTGAGATTATGGAATACGTCTATTCTGAGAACTCAGATCATGATCATCAGAATATGTGTGGATTGGATAAATCAATGAATGAAACATCAACTGCATATTCATGACCTCTGATCCACATTGCAGACATCTCAATCACCCAGTGTGATCCACAACCTGAAAACTCAGTGGAGGGCAAGACCTTGGTCCTTGAAGCAGAAGAAACATCTGATAAATTGGAACCCCACATCAGCCACTCACCTTCACCTTTACAACCTCATCCTGGTAAGGACAGCGACAGGTGAGGCTGGGCACATCAGTGCAATGTGTGTGGGTATGTTCAGCAACCATCACGGAAGACAAATGAACACAGAATAAAATAGTGTGCTTAGGGCAAAAAGAACAGTCACGGTCATACAAGGTCAGGGATTAAATATGACAGTTTAACATAAATACGCCAAAGAAAAATGAAAACTAATAGTGATTTAAAGAGTCTATTCAGAAAAAAAAAAAAAACTGACAAAGGAAATGGCAACCAGCAACAAATTTGTGCTAGGAGATCGGAGAATATATAGATAGGTCTTGATTATTCAAATTCCCAAGAGAAAATAACTAATTCACAACAGATAGAGCAGCTGTGATTAAAGTGCTGAATGACAGTAGGATGTCCGATGCCGACTAGAAGCAGAAGTATTCTGTGCTCCTGTTATTGCTTGAAATAGGGTTAAAACTGATAACTCAAAGGGTACTGAACTCAGGAAACAAAGAGAATTAGGTAAGAAGTGCCCATTCATGAGGTACAAAGATCCTGAATTCACGCATGTGTATGTAATTATCTCCTTTAACTTACCAGGTAAGATCCACAGGTTCCCGTGGTTAAGATATGGAGATCTTGGTTGTGGAGCATCGCGCAGCCTTTCACAACTATCATGGAATTTTTAGACAGTAACAGGGGCATGAATACTAACAACACATGGATTGCACTCTGTGTGACATTACTGTTTCAAGACACACAAAGCAAGTGATAGTATAAATGTGTGCTCTGTCTTTTGAGCCAGCAACACCTGGACAAGGATGAAAGTTATTAAAACATCTGTTTTGAAGCTTTGACCAGGCACATTTCATGGTCTTCATGAGAGTCTGGCATGTAGTGGACAACTGACATTCACTAAATGGGTGAAGTCGCTTTCATTCCTGTGAGAGCATGTCTCATGTGTGGCCACCTGCCCGAAACAACATATCCAGTGATACATTGCCATTTAGATGCAGAAACTGGATGATGTCACATCTCAGGGATGTCATTTTGTTGTTTTTCCCCAGCACTGCAAAAGCCTCAAAAGGATGCCTCTGAGATGTGTTTGCAAGGCCTGGCACATCTTAACAAGGAAGGAGAGAATTCATCCAACTCAGATGATGTCTGCTTTGTTTCCTCTTGGAACATGCCCATTCTTATTGAAGACGGTAAGTCAGATGCGAAGGGAAAGCATCAAGCTATGTGACATTAGAAATTGGGTACTGTTCCAAGAATAAGTCACAGGTTCTCAGCACAGGACACGAGGAATGAGCACTAGGGAAGCTTTGAGGGTGTGACTATGGGATGCCCTTAAAGTACGGAAACCAGAACAGAGAACAGATTAAACACATGAAACAAATACCTGTGCACAGACTAACTTGTTATACTCCTGACAAAAAGAATGTAGGCTTATTCTACATTATAGTCTGAAATTCTTTTGTACTCACACAAAGATCCTTGGGATGACATTTATAACCAACATGCATGATAAAGGGTCATCCGTGCACCTCAAATTCTGAGAAAAATGGCATCTAAGTGTCATCATTGACAATCTCGGGAATGTCCAGGGGCTACAGTGATGAAGACATGAACAGCGTGGGGTGGGTGTATTACGCAAGCTTTCACAGCAGTCATACGAATATTAGAGAACGAAGGAGACATAGATAAGTGAACATTACAGTTTCTTACGTCAGTTGCACCTGACAGCATATTTTTAAGACAACGCACCTAACGTGGCTCCACAAAAACATGTTATGTACATCGTGTCTAATTAATTAGCCTTTGACACCCAGATACAACTGAAGTATTTTTAAACACTTCCCATTTGAAACTTTGTCCAGGAGGCAGACTGTGGTCTGCATAGGATTGGCACTCTTAGGATGGTTGCTAGTCAATAGATGGGGAATTCAGCACCATTCCTTTGAAAGCAAGTCCCCTGTGGGCTCAAATGCCTTGAACAATATATGCATTTGACGTGCTGTTCATTTGAATAGATGCAGAAGCCAGATGAAGTCACATCTCAAGGTTGTCTTATTGTCATCTTGTCCCCCCAGAAGGCTCTGAGGCACTGGAGAATGCTCCTGAGTCATGTGTGACGTTCCCATCCCATCTTTTTTTTTTTACTTTTTTTTGGACATGCAGAGTGGATAGTGAGAGAGAGAGACAGAGAGAAAGGTCTTCCCTTTGCCGTTGGTTAACGCCCCAATGGCCGCCACGGCTGGCGCGCTGTGGACGGCGCACCATGCTGCTCTGAAGGCAGGAGCCAGGTGCTTCTCCTGGTCTCCCATGGGGTGCAGGGCCCAAGCACTTGGGCCATCCTCCACTGCCTTCCCAGGCCACAGCAGAGAGCTGACCTGGAAGAGGGGCAACCGGGAAAGAATCCGGCGCCCCGACCGGGACTAGAACCCGGTGTGCCGGCGCCGCTAGGTGGAGGATTAGCCTAGTGAGCCGTGGCACCGGCCTCATCCCATCTAGTCAGAAAGAAAGAGATCCTCAACATCAGATGATGCCCGCTTTGTTTGCTGTCTGGGAGAATCCATTCTTATTGAAGATGAAGGTAAGGCACATGCAAAGGGAAGGTGTGAACTTTGGTGAGTGTTGCAGCTGAGTTCCCCAGGCCAACTCCCGCCCACTCCTCTTTGGGCTCACATAGGAGCATGTTTCAGGGTATAGAACCAGGATGAAGCCCCCGGGGAGGAAGCTATAGGAATGTCCCAGTAATATCCTGAGAATGGCTCAGAGATCCTCTCCAACAAGTTGCCATCCGTGGGCACTGGGAGGACTAAAGATGAGTCCATGGGTTGTGGGCTCGTGTGTGGAATCCAGATAGAGCCTCCCAAGGCACACTGACTGGCAGGATTTCCATTCCGTACTCATGTGTTGGACTTCTCTACCAGGGGGGCTGCCATTTCCCTTTCCTCTTTCAGATCATCTCACATCTATCATCTGCCTTCACCATTTCTTTCCTATCCCCTAGTGGCATTGCACTGGGATAGCCTGTCACCCTCATTCCTGAAGAAACCTGCCCCTTACTCCTGGTCATGATCGCTTCACACCACCTCACACGTATCAGTATGCCAGACAATCCTGTGTGTGAAGGGATTTGAGTTGCCCAGACAGCACACATTCTCCATCACAGGGCACTTCATCCAAAGTGAAATCAGCCCTTCAAAGAGATGCATATGCTGCTGAGTTGCCGTGTGCTTCCTCCTGCATTGTGCCATCCTCTGCATGTACTGACATGATAGTGAACCACTCCAACGCAGAACATGCTTGCATTTGCCATGGCACAAAACACACACACACACGCACACACCACAGACACCCATCTGTATATAATACAACACACACTCAAAACCACGTGATGTGACATGACATAGAGCCATGTGTGCTAAACACACAGACCCAAACATTTCCTTTCTACCTAATTAAAACTCACTGCAGTATTCATATAGGTAAATACTGAATTTATTTCATATTAATTTCAGACCAATTCAGACTAATTGTGCCATCCTTGCGTATACTGACATCATAGTGAACCACTCCAGCACAGAACATGCTTGCATTTGCGATGGCACAAAACACACACACACACGCACAGACACACACTCACACACCTAGAAATTCCCCAGGACCTGCCATCAACAGAAATAGAGAAGTGAATGATGCACACACTGAGGCAAATCGCACCTGACTTCCCCACCCATTTAAAACTCAACTTGTGACTTAATTGATGATAGCAAATCAGTTATCTGTGCTCAGTGAGAAATTTGAACCAACATGTGACATTATAACACTTTGCACACTGTAAACTCTATACTGTTTTACTTCCGTGTGTGCCTAATGCTCAACCAGAGAAAATCCTGAACAAGTAAACATCTTATGAATTATTTTTTTAATTTTTTTAATTTTCTTTTTTTTTACATTTATTTAATGAATATAAATTTCCAAAGTACGGGTTATGGATTAGAATGGCTTCCCCCCCATAATGTCCCTCCCACCCGCAACCCTCGACTTTCCCATTCCCTCTCCCCTTCCATTCACATGAGGATTCATTTTCAATTCTATTTATATACAGAAGATGAGTTCAGCATACATTAAGTAAAGGTTTCAACAGTTTGCCACCACACAAACATATAAGGTGAAAAATAATAGATGTTTTTTTAAATGATGATGAAATCAGATGAGACCTATTGTCATGTTTAATCCCAGCAAGAGTCAAGTTGGGAATTGATAATTTCTTCTTCTTCTTTTTTTTTTTAACAGAAGATCAGTTTAGTATACATTAATTAAATATTTCAACAGTTTGCACCCCCATAAAAACACAAAGTGAAATATACTGTTTGGGTACTCGTCATAGCATTAAGCCTCAATGTACAGCACATTAAGGACAGAGATCCTACATGAAGAGTAAGTGCAAGGTGACTCCTGTTGTTGACTTTACAAATTGACACTCCTGTTTATAGCATCAGTAATCTCCCTATGAACCAGTCATGAGTTTCCAAGGCTATGGAAGCCCCTTGAGTTCTCCAACTCTTATCTTGTTTAGACACGGTCATAGTCAAAGTGGAGGTTCTCTCCTCCCTTCAGAGAAAGGTACCTCCTTCTTTGAAGACCTGTTCTTTCCACTGGGATCTCACTCACAGAAATCTTTAATTTAGGTGGTTTTTTTTTTTTTTTTTTTTTTTTTTTTTTTTTTTTTTTTTTTTTTTTTTTTTGCCAGAGTGTCTGGCTTTCCATGTCTGAAATACTCTCATGGGATTTTCAGCCAGATCGGAAAGCCTTTAGGCCTGATTCTGAGGCCAGAGTGCTGTTTACGACATCCGCCATTCTGTGAGTCCGCTGAGTATCTCGCTTTCCATGTTGGATCACTCTCCCCTTTATATATTCTATTGGTTAGTGTTAGCAGGTACTAGACTTGTTTATGTGCTCCCTTTGACTCTTAGTCCTTTCATTATGATCAATTGTGAACTGAAATTGATCACTTGGAATAGTGAGAAGGCATTGGTACATGCCACCTTGATGGGATTAAATGGGAGTCCCCTGGTATGTTTCTAACTCTACCGTTTGGGGCAAGTCAGCCTGAGCATGTCCCAAATTATACATCTCTTCCCTCTCTTATCCCCACTCTTATGTTTAACAGGGATCACATTTCGGTTAATTTTCAACACTTAAGAATAACTATGTGATAATTACATAAATAAACCAGTCATATTAAGTAGAACAGACAAAAAAAATACTACTAAGAGGGATAATGTATTAAGTTGTTCATTCACGGTCAGGGCTATGCTGATCAAGTCACCATTTCTCATAATGTCCATTTCACTTCAACAGGTTTCCTTCTGGGTGTTCAGTCAGTTGTCACCAATCAGGGAGAACATATGGTATTTGTCCCTTTGAGTCTGGCTTATTTCACTAAGCATGATGTGTTCAAGATTCCTCCATTTTGTTGCAATTGACTGGATTTCGTTGTTTCTTACTGCGGTATAGTATTCTAAAGAGTACATATCCCATAATTTCTTTATCCAGTCTACCGTCGATGGGCATTTAGGTAGGTTCCAGGTCTTGGCTATTGTGAATTGTGCTGCAATAAACATTAGGGTGCAGACCGCTTTTTTGTTTTCCAATTTAAATTCCTTTGGGTAAATTCCAAGGAGTGGGATGACTGGGTCGAACGGTAGGGTTATCTTCAGGTTTCTGAGGAATCTCCAGACTGACTTCCATAGTGGCTTGACCAGTTTGCATTCCCACCAACAGTGGGTTAGTGTCCCTTTTTCCCCACATCCTCGCCAGCATCTGTTGTTGGTAGATTTCTGTATGTGAACCATTCTAACCGGGGTGAGGTGAAACCTCATTGTGGTTTTGATTTGCATTTCCCTGACTGCTAGTGACCTTGAACATTGTTTCATGTGCCTGTTGGCCATTTGGATTTCCTCTTTTGAAAAATGTCTCTTGAGTCCTTGACCCATCTCTTATTGGGTTGTTTGTTTTGTTTTGTGGAGTCTCTTGATCTCTTTGTAGATTCTGGTTATCAACCCTTTATCTGTTGCATAGTTTGCAAATATTTGTTCCCATTCTGTCGGTTGTCTCTTCACTCTCCTGACTGTTTCTTTTGCAGCACAGAAACTTCTCAATTTGATGCAATCCCAATAGTTGATTTTGGCTTTGA